CGCTGTCAGGCCCCAGGCCACACTTTGAGGAACACTGGTCCATAGAGACGCCTCACTTGTCAGGACAAGACCCAGGTCGCCATCTCGGGGCTCCCCATCAGCCCCCGGCCTCTCCCTGAGTAAAAGCCAAAGGCTCGGGCTCCCTGGGAAGAGACGGGCGATGGTTGGGGGGGGGGGGGGGAGCTGTGGTGCTCGGACACTGGTGCTCCCACGTGGATAAAATGCAGGTTCTGGTCCAGCAGGGCCGGGGCGGGGCCTGGGATTCTGCATCTCTAACAAGCTGCTGTTCCCCAGATCACACTGCCAGCAGCAAGCCCTCTTGCCCCAGACCCGCTAAACCAGTCTCCGTTTTAACTGTCAAACACTCTCAGGTTTCAGACACGCTGCTTCAAGCAGCCCTGACCTCGGGCTGCGCATGAGAATCACCTGGGAAGTTTTGAGAACGCGCCCACCAGAATTCTGTCCTGGCCTCATCAATTAAGTCAGAAGCTCTGGGGACGGGGCAGTGATGTTTTAAAAGCCTCCCAGGCGATTCCTGCCAGGCATCCCGCTTTTGGCAGGACAGTCCCAATTTTTAACAATTTGTCCCGTGTCCCGCGGCATTTTTTTTTTTTAAAAAAAGTCCCGATTTTGCCGAAACCGGGTTGGCTCAGTGGTAGAGCGTCGGCCTGCGGACTGAGGGGTCCCGGGTTCAATTCCGGTCAAGGCCATGTACATTCATTGCGGGCACATCCCCGGCAGGGGATGTGCAAGAGGTAGCTTGTCGATGTTTCTCTCTAATCGACGTTTCTAACTATCTTTCTCCCTTCCTCTTTGTAAAAAATCAATAAAATATATATTTAAAAAAAAAATTTTTAAAGTCCCGATTTTTTAACAATTTGTCCCGCGTCCCGCGGCGTTTTAAAAAAGTCTCGATTTTTTTAAAATGCCGCAGGACGCGGGATAAATCGTTACAAATTGGGACGTCTGGTCACCTTATGCCAGGCCAGTGTGGCTCAGTGTCAGCCCAGGGACCAGGAAGTCACAGTTCCGCTCCGGTCAGGGTACATACAGGCTGTGGGCTCCATCCCCAGTGTGGGGCATGCAGGAGGCAGCGGATCCATGGTTCTCTCTCCCTCTCCCTTCCTCTCTGAAATCAATAAAAAAAAATATATGTTCAAAGCTTCCCAGGTGGTTCCAACGCAGCCTGGGCCAAGAGCCAGCCCCCTCAGAAAGCTGTCATTGGCTGGGTCAGAGAGCTGCAGAGACAGGATAAAAAGGGTGCTCTCCAGGAGTGCCACTTCACGTTTTCCAGGATGCTTCCGTCGCGTCCCCCTGCCTGGCTCTCACGGTAGCCCTGGAAGGGCATACGGAGTCACACCCACGTGGGAGGCGGAGAAACGGAGGCCTCGAGCTGGCTTGCTCGGCGTCACAGGAACAGTCACAGAGCTGACGGCAGAGTCATACCCCTCCAGGCAGGCTGCTCTCTCCTGTTCGATTCTCAGAAAGTCTGTGCTCCCGTGTCTCTGTGGGCGTCTCTCCGCGGGGAGCAGAGCACCCTTCAGTCCAGGCTTTCCGAGAAGGTGTGCTCAGATAAGTTGTAAAGAAGTGTTGTCTCACTTTAACCGGAGAAAAATGAGGCACAGTGGTGGTGGTGGAGGGGGGAAACGGCAGCAAAAAGGAAGCGAAGGTCCTGGCCGGGATGTTCTCAATTGTGAGAGCATGGGCCTGAGGACCGAAGGGTCACGGGTTCGATTCCCAATCAAGGGCACGTACCTCAGTTGCAGGCTCCATCTCCGGGTGCATGCAGGAGGCGGAGCAATCTCGCGTGCGTCTCTCTCACATCAGTATTTCCCTCTCTATCCTTCTCCTCCTCCTCCCTCCCCTCTATCTCTCTCTTTTAAGAGTAAACTAGGGAAGGCTGCAGGGTCCCTGGCTCCCACCCAGTCCTCTCCTCATAAGGTTCACAGAATAGGTGTGACAGAGGTTAGACATGGTGGTTGCCATGGTGACCACATTCATATAAATACCCATCCACATGAGATTTGCTTGGTGGCCAGTCACCTCCCCCCCACCCTCCCCCCCACCCCACCCCATAAGAGGGTCGCAGAAAAAGCAAACCGCTTGCCCAGTGCAGGAGGCCTCCCTGGGAGCAGGCAGCCATCCTCCCTGCTTCTGGGTGATGAAAGGGAGTTGCTCTGAGGAAGCCAAAGTAGCAAGCCCCCCCTCCCTACCTTCTCCTCCCCCCTCGCCCCTCCCTTCCCCCCACCCCCAGTGGTGGAGGACCCCTTGGGCCCTGCCGCTCCAGCCTGTCTGTGTAATCTCTGCTCTCACCCTCCACCTTCAGCTGGCAGGTTCCCGTCAGCCTTGTCTGGCTGCCTCCCCCCAGGAGACTGTTAAATGCTCTTGAAAAATGGGCTCGTGTCTAGAACGTGGCTGCTGGGCTGCTCAGTCCAAACAACAAAGGCCTGCTGAGCTGAACCACATCTCCGCCCTCCGCTGGGGCCACAGGGCGGTGGCCTGCCCCTGGCCGGGCGAGGGGGCCTCATTGGGCCTCGGGAGCTCCTGCCGCTGGTGCAGCTCAAGCCAGATCGGGAGGGGCCTCTCTCCAGGGGCAGGACCCGGGCTCCGGCCCCTCTCGCTGCCTCGGACTCCACCCCTCCCTTCTCCTCTCCCTGCCCACCCCTGGCCAAGGCCCCTGCAGGCATGCCAGCCGCTTCCTGACACGCTGGAGAAACACGCACACTCACTCACTCTGGTGTCCACCCAGCCGGCTCCGGCCGCCTCTGAGGCCTCCACTCCTGGCATCTCCCAGGGCAAGCTCGGAGCGGCCTTTCCAACCCCAGCCTCCCGCTCCCGGCAGCTGCCCCTGGACCCTCCGCTCACCTCAGGCTTCCTGCCTGAGAAATGGGAGAGCAGCCAGACCACTGCAGGCAGGGGCCAGGAAGGGGGAAAGCACTTGTTCCTCCCACTCAGGAGCTCCATCCTCTCACCAGCTATAAGGCGCACACCCGTGAAATTCCAGCTCCCCCGAGAAGCTTTGCGGAAGGTCTGGGAAGAAACATGACAATCTTGGTGGAGAGAAGGGGGCGGGAGACTCACGTCTGGTTCTCCCCACCACAATCACATCTTTTCCCTGCAAACAAAAATACTCTATCTCACGTGATTCTTTGTAGGCCATTGTGGCATCCTCTCCACTAGAGGGCGCCTCTGAAGTCTTTTATTTGTAAGCTACCTTCTCCAAGAGGGCCTGGGACGAGTCTGGGAAGAACAGATCACACCTGTATCCTCCTCCATCCATCCCCACCGGCCCCACCAAGGCCAGAGCGAATATTCCTTTCCTTTGTAATCCCATTCTCCCCCAGAAGCAAACGAGCAGCCATCCGCCTTTTCTGCTTGAGTTGAACGTTCTGCATGGAAACCTTGTGTAACTAACTGCTTTGGGTAAGATTTGCAGCTGTAGGCCTGTGGTTTCCAACTGGCAGGACATGAAAGTGACCTAGGGAGCTTTCACAAATATATGGCCCCCCCCCAAACCAATTTCATCAGAACATCAGGAGGTGGGAGCCAGTTGTTCTATATTGTTGTAAAGATCCCAGGAGATTCCAAATCAGAGTACGCAGCCTGGGGAGCAGTGCTGGGGCCTGGTTCCCCACCCACGAGTGCCTCCTCCTACCGTCACAGCCGCAGCCCCCGCCAGGGGGCCTTGGCCGTGGCCTCAGCTCACCCAGGTCTCTTGAGTTCAACACTTGAGAACCTCACGGACTTCTCACTGCTTGCCTGGTCTCGCAAGTCGGGCGTTGGCCTTGGGACCTGCTCCTCAAAAGCATGTTTTTACCTTACATTCAGGGTCTGGTCATGGAACGCGAGCAATAGCATCATTGATGGTGCGCTCACAGTGGGTTGGGTGGTGGAATGTACATCCAAAATCCCATCTAAAACTTAGCCCAGACGTTAAGCATCGCTTCTCCAAAGTCATACAGCTGATAAGTGCGGCAGGACTGGGGTTTGAACCTGGGTCCACAGACCTCAGAGCCCGTCTCTCCATGACTCTGCCGTGGGTGGCCTCCCCCCCTGCTTAATCCCGGTGACCAACTCTCCCCGGGGCCCCCACCACACAGGGAGAGATCGACTTTCTCTTCCCACATTTCCTTCCTTACCAGTTTCCTGGAGCTCTTGAAACCAAGTACCACCAACTGGGTGGCCTAAAACCACCAAAATTCATTCTCTTATAGCTCTGGAGGCTGGAAGTCCAAAGTCAAGGTGTCAGCAGGGTTAGTTCGGGCTCCGAGGGGCCATGTGTCTTTCTCATGGATTCTAGGACTGCCAGCACCCCATGGTGCTCCTCCACCTGAGGATGCTCACTCCAATCTCTGCCCCTGTCTTCACGTGGCCAACCGCCCTGTGTGTCTGTGTTTCCCCATGGCCTTCTCCTAAGAACGTGTCATTGGATGTAGGGCCCGCCCCAGCCTAGTAGGACCTCATTTTAAGTGATTGCATCGTGGCAAAGAGCCTATTTTTAAATAAGTCACATTCTGAGGTTCCAGGCGGACATGGATTCTGGGGCGGGGGGAGGGGGGAGAGGTGGTTACTGGTCAACTCCGTACACACACACACCCAACCCCAAAGACCCAAGTTTTGCTTCTGACCTCATTCAGGTGACGAGGGCGGGCCACCGGCTGGCAAACCTGGGTGCTGGTGGCCTGTGGTCCCCTGTCCCAGCTCCAGCTCCTGCTGCTTGCCCAGCTGCTAAGAGACAGCTCCCAGCGCCTGCTCCCCTCGGTGCTGGCCCAGACGCTGGGCCCGCCCCATGTTCTCTGACTACTGCGTGCGTGCGTACCCCAAAGACGCACTGTCTCTACAGCTGCAAACGGTCCCACATCGCTAACAGCCTGGGGCTGGCCACACACCTGCTGGTTGGCCAGTGAGAAGTTCTCCGTGGAGCCCCCCCACTTCCCCACTGTACCCCCCTCCACTGGTCTGAGGTTAAGTACTTTTTTTTGTCTTTGCTATCTCCGCAGGAAATGGGTATATTGAAGGTAAAGAACTAGAAAACTTCTTCCAAGAGCTGGAGAAGACAAGAAAAGTCTCTGGCATGGTAAGCCCAGCCCCCTTCCCCACTGTGTGGGATTTCCGTCATCTGACCATGGCTTTTTTTTTTTTTTTTTTTTTTTTTTTTAACTTGTATTGATTTCAGAGAGGAGAGGGAGAGAGAGAAACATCAATGAGAGAAACATCATTGTTGGTTGCCTCCTGGTCCCCCCCCCCCCCCCACTGGAGATCAAGACTGCAAACCCAGGCATGCGCCCTGACTGGTAATCGAACTATGACCTCCTGGTTCTCACAGGTGGGTGCTCAACCAATAGCCATGCCAGCTGGGTTGACCATGGCTTTAAGCACTGTCCCAAGCTATGCGTCCCCTCAGCCAGCCTGACAGCTCTGATCTCAACCGTTAGAGTTTTTCTTTATTTGTAGGGATTTTTTAAAAATGGACTATTCTATAAAAAAAGAGTATCGTATCATCTCAGTATCACTGGAATGTCTGGGATTGAGGGATATTCATGAATGGACAGCAGATTGATGAATTCCTCAAAGCTGCAAAGCTTTGTATCTGTGAATCTGTACGTAAAAAGGATCATTTCCTAGTGGAGAGTCCACAGCCTTTCTAAGATGCTCAGACGGGTCCTGAGCTTTGATTCTAGGCCAGCGGTTCCCAGCCTCAGCACTGCTGGCATCGGGGATGGATAACCCTTTGTGGTGGAGACTATCCTGCGTATTCTAAGATGGTTAGTGGCTTCCCTGGCCTCTACACACCAGATGCCAGTAGCTCCTTTCCCATTTGTGACCATCAAAACTGTCCCCGGACATTGCTACATGTCCCTGCAGTGGGGTGGGCAGGGGGAGAGGTTTAGAATTGTCCCCACTGGAGAACCACTTTCCTAAACCAAGAAAAGCTGGCATCCTTGGCAAAGGCCCAGAGGAAAACGGAGGATTGTCCCAAACCAGCGTCTGAATCAGCAGTACCGGCTGGCTCGAGTGCGGAGGTGTCAGACCACCCTGCTTAGCCGGCCGGAAGTGACTCCAGATCTTGTCCCAGCCCCTTCATGGCAGGGATGCTGTTCCCCATGCCAGCCAGGTACTGTGGGATTCACTGAAGCCTTTTGGAGGAGCGTCTGAAATATTAAAAAAGGTGAGGTGATGAGAACCAGGCCTGGTCCTCAAATAAATGGAGTTATGTGGAGCAGTTCTGATGATGAGTCACAAATCCACCACCGAGCTCCTGGTTCAAAGCTCAGCAGAGCGCTCCCGTGAGGAAGAGGTCCAGGCGACGGGCTTATGTGATGGAGGCGACTCATGGGTTTATCAACTGCTTCCCCATCACCCCTCATCACCAAGACAACGAAGCCTGGACCAGAGAAAACACAGGCTCTGCAGCCGGTTGTGGGATCGTGGTGTGGTGCAGGGAGAGGAATGGGTGTTATGAAGTGCTCCAAGTCTGACATCCTTCTCCTAGTCGCTTGCCTTCCTCGGATGGCATCAGGGGTGGTTGTCAAGTCTGTCAACTACAATCTCAACTGATCTCATCCCAGACTGGTTTAAGCCCAGTTAAGTCCATAGAGCAGCTGTTATATGGTAGAAAGAATATTGGCCTTGCCAAAACCGGTTTGGCTCAGTGGATAGAGCGTCGGCCTGCGGGCTGAAGGGTCCCGGGTTCGATTCCGGTCAAGGGCATGTACCTTGGTTGCGGGCACATCCCCCGTAGGGGGTGTGCAGGAGGCAGCTGATCGATGTTTCTCTCTCATCGATGTTTCTAACTCTCTCTCTCCCTTCCTCTCTGTAAAAAATCAATAAAACATATTTTTAAAAAGAAGGAAAAAAAAAAAAGAATATTGGCCTTGGAAGTAGGATCAGTGAATTCAAATTCTGTCTCTACTTACGGTAGACCCCAAGAGAAGTCACTTCACCTCGGCTTCCCTTTGCACGGGCTCCTCACGTGGGTCCCAGGGGCACACTGGGCCTCCTTTGTCTCCCCACAGACGTCCAAGAGCGACAACCTGGGGGAGAAGATGAAGGCCTTCATGCAGAAGTACGACAAGAACTCGGATGGGAAAATCGAGATGGCAGAGGTGAGTCCCGCTGCCCTGGCTCCGAGCCTTGCGGGAAGGGCCAGGTCACCCGTCCCTCTCCCAGGCACAAGCACCCATGAGGCCGTGACCTTCAAGCCCCGCCCCCAGCCTGAGCACTGGGGCTGCCCCAAGGGGCTTTCTCTGCATCCCACAAGGAAGAAAGGAATGGAGACCTTCGGGGCTCTCAGGGCCCATCGGGTGTTGTAAATGTGTGACGAGCCCAGCTAAGACAGAAGGGACGGTGAAGACTGGGGAACAGGAGAGTTCATGCCCCACCTAAAGGCATCCAAAGGCAGCATTTTTTTTAAGAGGCAAAATTTTGATAATACAGGGGTGTGCAAAAGTAGGTTAAATTACCAGCCATCATTACCTAATAGATAAATCATAAGGATATGAAATAAGACAAATAACACAATCATAAATCAATCATACCCAGAACTGTAAACCTACGTTTGCCCACCTCTGTCTATATGGCATGTATAATTTATGTATAATATACTTTATATATTATATATATTATATACACATACATTCACATATGAATAGCCATATACATATTGTTAAAAGATAAATGGAGGCATATTTAAAAATTCAAGAGTTTTTAGCAAAGATCTATTGACACTGGGCAGTACCAAACAGGAAGTGGTTGGGAACACTCCACCAACAATGGTGGGTCACACAGTCTGTCGTGCTGTGGTGGCACAGGGCAGCCACAGGCAGTGTGCACATGCGTGGCCATGCCATGTTCCAGTACACGTTCACCTGCAGACTTGACCATGAACCTCTATTTCCTGACTCCTGGCTTAGACTATGATGAGTGAGGCCCTGGGCGGGGTTGACTCCAGGCGGAGGCAGCCAGTGTCCAGCTCGGCTTCTCCGCAGTTCTCTTGGTTCTGCTCTCCGCCCCGAAAACAGCTCCGTCCTCAGGCTGGCAGCAAGCTGGCGGCAGCAGTTCCGGGCATCACGTCCACATCCGGAGGCAGAGAGGGCTCCTCTCACGTGGTCCCTCCTAAGAGCAGGGAAACCTTCCCCAGGTGTACATACCCTCAGCAGACCTCCCCTCCCGTGTCAGGGGCCAGGGCCAGGTCATATGCCTACCCACCAGCCAATCACTGGTGAGGAGAGTAAGATTAGCACGTTTAACGGGAAGGATTCAGGATTTGCCTGTGACCTAGGATGCTGGGAGCAGAAGGCCGGGCAGGGAAGGCCCCTTTGGTGGACAGCCAACAGGGCTCGCTGCACAAGAGTATTTGCATTTCTTTTTTAAAGGCAGCTGGGGTATCATTTATATACAACGAACTGCATGGATGGAATCGATTTGAAGTGTATATAATTCCATGAGTTCACACAGTTGTAGACAGCCATGCAGTCCCCACCAAATCTAGATTCAGCATCTCTCTCACCCCCAAAAGGTCCCTTCGGCTGGTGCAGGCCATCAGATCAGCGTGCATGTCTTAGGAAGTTACGTTTATGGAACCATCTATTCAGGACGCTCTAGAGTAGGGGTGTTGAACTCAATCAGAGAAGGGGCCAAAATCTAAAATCCAGCCTAAATCGCGGGCCGAATGGTTTACTGAACAGTCATAAACTGTCATTGTGATGGAAACGCAGTGGAGTGCAGTGATGACAGCGCGGTGCGGGCCACATTGCAAGGCCTGGCGGGACGGATTTGGCCCGCGGGCCTTGTGTTTGACACATGTGCTCTAGAGTCTGGGTCCTGGGCGCCACTTCCTGTCCCTCCAGCTGCTCGTAGCGCTGGGGTGATGGGGACGCACAGAATAGCCTCCTGCCCCTTCCAAGGGCTGCTCCCAGGAGGGAAGCCACATGCGACTCCCACGCTGCCTTGCCACTGGCCACTCCTCATCCCTCCCGCGGGAGGTCTGGTCTGCTCTGCTCTGCTCTGCTCCCCGGCGGGCCTTCTGTAACGTCCCTGTCGTCTCTGTCGCTCTCTGGTCCACAGCTGGCGCAGATCCTGCCCACCGAGGAGAACTTCCTGCTGTGCTTCCGGCAGCACGTGGGCTCCAGCGCCGAGTTTATGGAGGTGAGGCTGTGGCGCGGCCCTCCCGGGGTTCAGAGCCAGCATGCCTGGGAGCGGGCCCACCCCTTCAGCTCCTCAGTGTGGTCCGCGGGCCCGCAGCGTCAGCATCACCGCCATCACCGCGCGCTTGTTAGAAGCCCCGAGTCAGAGCCCACAGGTTCACAGGAGCCCCATCTGGTGTGTGTGTCCATTAAAGTGCGAGGAATAAGGGGAGAAGCAAACCGAGGCCAAATACACCTGGGAAGTGCTGTGTAAACGCCATCTCCCCTCCGGGGATTTGCCACAGACATTTGCATGTTATGGGCCCCAAATCCTGCCGAGGAGAGACCCGTCTCGCTGGGTGTGGCTCCAGGGTCGCCCACGCTGTCTCCTCGCTCAGTGCCATCCGTGTTCCTCAAGGTCAGGGCTCCACGGAGACGCCTGGGGAGGATGGGCGTGTGTACCACCCTCCCTCAGGCTGGAAATGCCCAAGAGAATTCCAGTTCCCCAGTATCTTTCAGGTTTGCTCTTTGACTGTGGTCTGGGGTTCTTTGGCCCCTTTTAAATGGGCACTGCTGTCTGTACCACAGACATTCTTCCGGTCACCCAAACTCAAGTGCCTTTTGAGCCACATTCAACCAATAGGTTAAACCTGAGGTCGGCAAACCGCGGCTCTCGAGCCACCTACGGCTCTTTGGCCCCTTGAGTGTGTGGCTCTTCTACAAAATACCCACGGCCTGGGTGAGTCTATTTCGAAGAAATGGCGTTAGAAGTTTAAAAAAAATTGGGCTCTCAAAAGAAATGTCAATCGTCGTGCTGCTGGTGTTTGGCTCTGTTGACTGATGAGTTTGCCAACCCACTGGGTTAAACCATGTGAAATTGCCGATCTTTAACCATTTTTTACTGATGAGAATTGGAATTCCATATGGTTCCACCAAACACGTTACTAATCCTGATGGTCAGCCAACCACCAGTTACTTCTCACTCTTTTTCTGGGGCTCTGCACCCCGGCCACTCCATGGGTGTGCCCTGGCAGGGAGACGCAACCCACTCCCCACACTCCCAGCCTGCTGTGAGGAACAAATGGCCGGCCTTCAGTTTGACTGAGTTGCCATTCGTCCTGTTAAACTAAGGTGACGTCAGGTCACCTTAGGGTAAACCCATTTCCAGCCACCAGTCTCCCCCTCCCGGGGGTCTCTGCCTAAAAGGACTGGGGAGCCGGCCCCAAACCCACATCACAGTGGTTTCACCTCATGTGGGTAGAAAGTGGGGTAGAAAGAGCCTGCTCAGGGTCGGGGAGCCTCTTAAGGATTGAGTTTTTTATGGGGCTTTAAAAGATTTGTCTCCAGAGGGCAAAATTCCCTAAATTGGAAATGGACATTCTGGATTCTGTCCCCGGTCCTTCTCTTGCCTGTCTGGGAAAGGAGGTACAGGGCGGGGCAGGGGGTTGGGAGGGGGGTGGAGAGATGGGGCGTGGCAGGCGGGGGTAGGTTAGGGGAGGGCGAGGGGAGTCTGCATATACTTGAAACCTGTCAGGGTGCTGCATTTGAGAGAGTCCATTTCTGTCTGTAGAAAAAACAGTGTTATGCCTGACTGTTCCTTTGGCCTGGATTCCATCTCTGATCTGAAAGAAGTGGATGATGATAGCTTGCCAGGGACATAGATGCTTAAAGAGAAGCAATGCCCCCCCCCCTCTGTCTTTTTCTGAATTTGGTTTCTGTAGAGTTGACATCATTCCATATTCCTGTCTGCCTTTATCTTTTAAGCCCCAGCATAACTGCTGAGCCAACACCCCACCCCACTCCACTCCCCACCCCCGCTAAGCTTCCTGGGACCCCACCATCCTCCGGCAGCACCCCCTCTTGGGGCTGCCCATTTGTTCTGCTTTTATCCGCTGGAAAGATGAAGTGGTCCCTGGGCAGCCAGTGCTGTCAGAAGGCGCCCATCCCGCTGCTCAGCACAACATTTTAATTTCTAATTTTGGCGACACCTCGGGTTTCTTTGAGATTTCACAAAGCCCAAGCCTCTTGAACTCTTTTCCTTGAACGGGAGGAAAATAATGGCACATTGATGGATGAGCACAAAGTGCTGGAGGGCAGAGACATGAGCGCCTGAGGGTGGGGGCGGGGTGGCTCTGGAGAGACACACACACACACACACACACACACACACACACACACACACGGAGGGAGGAAGGAGGGGAGGGAGGGAGGTTAGGCCGGACCTGCTGGGATGTTCTCACTCCCAGAAGCAGGCAGGTGCCTTGCTGGGCGCTGTGCCCCGCCGAGGTGGGCTCCCCCAGGTGACCCTCCCGGTAGGCATTCAGGGACTGTCTGCCTTTCCCAGTCAAGACTCCACCTACATGAGCCCCGTCCTGATGCACTAAATGCATGCAGGTGGCTGGTGACGTCACATTTGAAAACCCACATGTGTTTCTTCGTGCTTCCTCAAGGCTGGGCTTTCTGGGCGGGGGAAGGGATGTTTCGATGGCACTAGGCTTTTTTCCTCTCCCTCCTCCCCCCCCCCCCCCCCGCCACCCCCGGAGAATATCCACTCCCCTCATTAAATACCATCAACCCACATCGTCTGTGGTGTGGGCCCCACACTGTTATGGAGTCTTGCTCATATCTAAGAACTTTTCAAAAATCAGGACGAGGGTGGAAGGAGAGATCTTTTTTAGGGGGGGGGGGGGGGAATGAAATGAAAATAAATTAAAACCAGAGCCAACTTTCTTGAGCCACTGCTGTACTGTGAGAATTATACAGCCTCATTAGCTGATATGGAGGACAGACCCTGAAATACCTATAAGCTCTCATGCTCCTGGCAATAACAGGAGCATGGTGTAGAGAAGTCGGGAGGCAGGAGATCAAGTTTAGGAAAAGAGGGCTTGCTGACTCTCGGAAAACCGAGTGCCGCCGGTGTCTCTGTGGGCAGTTGGGAGCTGAGGGAGAAGGGAATAAAAGGCAAGAAGAGAAAACTGGAGGGGGAAAATATAAGATATATGATCGGGCACCAAAGTAGATGAAATACTTAGAAAACAGGGTTCTGTGGGCCTTTTGTCCCAGATCCAGGCCGCCCCCTGCCCCAGCTCCCCGCCCCCCCGTACTCCCTCCTGCCCACTGGACGACTGGGGTGCAGGCTGGGGTTTCGGGGCACTTGCCTGCAGGACACACGCCTACCTCTAAAGATGGGGTCAACCCCTCTTGAACCACATGGGATGAGCATGAGAGAAGGGTGTTTCCTAAAATACATAGGAAAAGAAAGCTTTTTATCAGAAAGAGGTGCGTGGGGGTGGCCTTGATATACAGTCAACACTGATCACACTGCCGATTCTGTCCCACCTTCAGACCCCGCTGCCACATGCATGGGGCTGGGGGATGGAGGAGGGCGCCCAGGGAAGAGTAACCAGAGCCTGTTTCCGCCCCTTCCAGAAGGTTCTTACTCTGGCTCCCAGCCTCCACCCAGAAAACGAGAAGCTTCCAGAGCAGTCAAAGGACACCCTATATACTCAGCAGAAATCAGTTCCCCCCGCCCCCCCCGCCCCCATCCTCATGTTAGCCCTGCGAGGACCTGCTAACCTGGTTGGAGGAGGATCCTAGTGAGACGGGTGGGGGAAGGGGGGGGGGGGGGGCTTTGTCCCACCAGGGGTCTGCCTTCCTTCCCTCTGGGACCTTGGCCAAGACGCACTCCCTTGCATGTCTTGGACACGAGCGACTGGGCTAGGCCACCTCCACCTCCTCACCCCGCTGAGCCATTCTGCTGAGCCATTCTCCGATGTCCAGGCTCCCGGGGCCATCAGCGGGGAGCGGGGAGCGGGGAGGGGGGACTCGGAGGCGTGCGGGTGTCCAGAGGCCCGGCGAGCAGGCTGGTGTTCGTTGCAGGCCTGGCGGAAGTACGACACGGACAGAAGTGGCTACATCGAAGCCAACGAGCTCAAGGTAGGGTGGGCCTCTAGGAGGCGTGAGGGAGCGGAGAATGGGGCCGGGCTGGGCCGGGGGCGGTTTGAGGAACCCGGGGAAGGAGGGGCATCGGGTGAGGAACACCGGTGTGGTCAAGTGAGACTCGGGTCTGGCCCGGGGCAGCCGAGTGGACTCGGGAACACGGAGCTACGGGGCGCAGAGGCCGACCAAACCCCACGGCCCCGCACACGAGCCCGGAGAGGCCCTAAGGCCACCCCCTCGGACGGGCCTTCTGGCTGGCACGCCCCCCCCCCTTCCCCATTCTCCTCGGGGACCGGCGATCCCAGGCACTGCGAGGCCCGGGTGGGTCCCTGGCTCTCCGAAGAGCCAGCGCCAGCTTCTGACGCCTACTCTGTGCCCAGGAGTCACCTCCAGGCCCCCACGCTCACCCCACAGACACGAGGGGGCCCCGGGGGTTTGCGGGATGTAGCTGTGTAAGAAGTGGCACGGACGACCGAGCGAGGAGGGACAGAGGGACGGATGAGTCGGGAGCTCTGAAGGGGCCTCTTCATTCCAGGGGTTCCTGTCCGACCTGCTGAAGAAGGCCAACCGGCCGTACGACGAGCCCAAGCTCCAGGAGTACACCCAGACCATAGTGAGTGGGCAGGGCCCCTCCCGGGGGGTGCAGGACGGGGGGGCCCGGCCGCTGAGACTGGGGCCTGCAGGGTTCTGTTGGCTGATTCTCCGGGACCCGGGGAAGGGACACCAGCGGCTGGAGGAGGAGGGACTCTCTGAGGTGCTGCCTGAGGCCGGGGCGTGTGTTTCCCTGGAGAGGATGAACGTGGAGGGGGTGGGCCGGCGGGGCTGGCCGGCTGTCCTCGGCGGCCTCCTTCCCGAGGAGGGGAGAGGGGACCGATGGAGACCAGGCCGGCCCCCGGGTGACCTCGGAGGAGGCCTGAGCCCGCTGCCCCCCCGTCCTCCCTCTCCAGAGGGGAAAGGTCAGCCTCAGTGACCCGAGCGTCTCTCTCTGTCCCCGACAGCTGCGGATGTTTGACCTGAACGGCGACGGCAAGCTGGGCCTCTCGGAGATGTCCCGGTAGGTGCCTGCCCCCCCCCCCGCCCCGCACCCCCCAGCGCCTGTGCCACCGTCCCCGCCCTCAGGGCCGCCGCTGGGGCGGGGCACAGGCCGGGCCTCAGGGAGCTCCACGCAAAGCCAGGCAGACCCGCGAAGGCCCCGCCTCAGTGTGTCTGTCTGTCCGCCTCTTTCCAGAACCTGCCACTAACTCCAGGCCATTAGGAGCTCAGCGACCTTCTCCGTGCCTGCAGGCCCGGCTCCTGCGCCCGCCCGGGTGCGAGCCGCTCTGGCCTCTGCGCGGCCTCTAACCTCTGCTCTCGCATTTCCTTCCAGACTCCTGCCCGTACAGGAGAACTTCCTGCTGAAGTTTCAGGTAAAACGGCCGCTTTGCTTTGCTTGGTCCCTCCCTTCCTCTCATCCCTCTGAGCTCCACCTTCCACTGTCCTGCCCCGAAATACACACACACACACACACACTCTCTCTCTCTCACACATACACACACACACACACACACAAACACTCACATGCACGCTCACACACATGCACACGCACGCTCACATACAAACACGCTCACATGCATGCACACGCACTCACACACATGCACGTGCGCACACACACTCTCACACACACACACACACACACACACACACACACTCACACGGGGTCTGCTTCTCTCTCTAACACCTTGCACCTTCCAGGGCATGAAGCTGACCTCCGAGGAGTTCAATGCCATCTTCACATTTTACGACAAGGTATGGGGGAGGGGGCGGTGTGGTGTGGAAACCAGGAGTCCCCGTCCCCATCCCCGTCCCCAGGGCACCCCCTGCTGTGTGAGCAGGTACTGCCACCCGGTCCAGGGCCTGTGGATCCCGAGGCCTTGGGTCCTCAGAGGCGCAGAGAGAATCGTTCTGACAGAGGGCTCTGTTCAGAGCTGGGGGGTGACAGGGTGTTGGGGGCCAAGGGCAGGAGGTGCCAGGACCGCTCTCCTGCTGTCAGGTCACGTCGAGAATGAGAGGGTGCCACCCACCCCCCTCCCTCAGCTGTCCCCTGCCCAGGAGACTCCCAGGGTCTTCCTTATAACCTTATAACAGAGGGGTTGGGGGTAAGACCTTGTCATTCATATATATATATATGTGTGTGTGTGTGTATATATATATATATTTGATTTTATTTTTTTTTTACAGAGAGGAAGGGAGAGGAATAGAGTCAGAAACATCAATGAGAGAGAAATATGGACCAGCTGCCTCCAGCACACCTCCCACTGGGGATGTGCCCGCAACCAAGGCACATGCCCTTGATTGGAATCAAACCTGGGACCCTTTAGTCTGCAGGCCGACGCTCTACCCACTGAGCCATACCGGTCAGGGTCCTCCTAGCATCTTATGACGGGAGGGAGGTGGCACTCAGTCAGCTAAACGCTCCCTGAGCCTTGCTTCCATTCCAGTGCCAAGGAGAAACACCCCAATGAAGAGCTGCCCAAAGTGTGCCCTGGGGCGGCCGCTCCTGAATGCCTGGGAAGGCGGGGGGGAGGGGGGGGGCTCAGACGGAACGGGGGGAGGGGTGCGGGGGGGGGGCACCCGGGGCCAGGTCTGCGGCCACGGGGCTGACCGCTGGCCCCGCGCTCGCCCCCTGCGCCCGCCCCAGGACGGCAGCGGCTACATCGACGAGAACGAGCTGGACGCCCTGCTGAAGGACCTGTTCGAGAAGAACAAGAAGGTGAGCAGCGGGCTCAGGGAGTGTGGTCCCGGCCCCCTCCCCTCGCCGGCGGGGACACCGCGAGTCCGGCGGGGCTGCCACCGCCGCAGCCGCCCGTTTGGAACCCGTGCTCCGCGTCAGGCCTGGAGCTGGACGGGGTTCACACCCACTCCCACATCTGGTCACCCCCACGGCTCAGACGGCGAGTGCCGTCACTGTGCCCGCGACACAGGCGGGGGGCAGCGAGGCCCGAGCGGGATCCTTTCCCCAAAGCAATGCCCCGGGAAGTGGGAAGGGCTCCGGCCCAGGCCTTCCTGCCTCTGGAGCCCGTGCTCTGTGTGCCTCTCGGGCAGGGCCTGCCCGTGTGCCCGGGGCCTCCACCCACCCAGCCAGCCAGCCCCCACCCGCCCCGTGTCTCCTAGGAGATGAACATCCAGGAGCTCACCAACTACAGGAAGAGCGTCATGTCCTTGGCCGAGGCGGGCAAGCTCTACCGCAAGGACCTGGAGATCGTCCTCTGCAGCGAGACGCCCCTGTAGAGGGGGACGGAGGCGGCCTCTCCTCCTCCTCGAACCCGCCCCCGCTGCCCCGACCCTCCTCCCAGACCCGAGATCCCGGGCGCCCTCCCCACGCCCCTGCCACCTGCAGAGGAAAGGAGAGACGAGGGCAGACGGGCAGCTGGCAGGCCTCCGGAGCCCCGCAGTGGGGACCAAGCCAGCGCGGGAGGCGGGCAGGGCGCGGTGTGGGGGGGGGCTCCCCGACTCTCTTCGCTGTGATGCATGAGCTCGTTTGCTGTGTAATCTAGGCTTCCGTGTCCCGCTCCCCGGCCTCGCCCCCGGGCCACGCCCGGCCCTCGCAGCGTCCCAGTCCCCGTTCTGTCCGCCACGTGCTGATGGTGTAGCCGTCCTCTCAGAGTTCCTGTTCGTGGGGGCACCGCCCGGTCCTCGTCTTCTCCACTCAGCATGCTCCCCCCCTCTCTGGGCTTCTTGTCTTCTTGTTTACCAAAGAGGAGTTTACAGACAATAAATAAAGTGGAAACATCTGCTGGTCTAGCACTCAGCATATCTCTCTCTCTCTCTTTCGCGCACTCTTTCTGTTTGTCTTTCTCTCTCTCTCTCTCTCTCTCTCCCTCCCTCCCTCCCTCCCCTCTCTCCCTCTTCTCCCTCTCCTCTCTTTCTTCTCCTCTCCTCTCTCTCTTCTCTCGCCGTTCTCTCTCTCTCTCCTCTCTCTCTCTCCTCTCCTCTCCCTCTCCCTCTCCCTCTCCTCTCCTCTCCCTCTCCCTCCTCTCCTCTCTCCCTCTCTCTCCCCTCTCTTCTTTCTCCCTCTCTCTCTCCCTCTCCCCCCCCCTCGCTCCCCTCTCCCCCTCTCCTCCTCCTCTCTCCTCTCTCTCTCTCCCTCTCTCTTCTCTCTTTCTCTCTCTCCCTCTCCCTCTTCCTCTCCCTCTCCCTCCCTCCCTCCCTCTCCCTCTCCCTTTCTCTCCTCTCTCTCTCTCTCCTCTCTCTCTCTCCCTCTCTCCCTCCTCTCCCTCTCTCCCTCTCTCCCTCTCTCCCTCTCTCCCTCTCTCCTCTCTCCCTCTCTCCTCCCTCTCCCTCTCCCTCTCCATCTCCCTCTCCCTCTCCCTCCCCCTCCCCCTCCCCCTCCCCCTCCCCCTCCCCCTCCCCCTCCCCCTCCCCCTCTCCCTCTCTCTCTCTCATAGCCTAGCTTCCTGACAAGGGCGGGAGCCTGCACTCACATGGGTGAGGAGGGGCGTCAGGACCCCCAACTGGGGCGTAACCACTAGAAACGGGGCCTGGGACCCCAGTGCTCTGCCTGCCTCTCCATCCCCGGCCATTTCCTTGTTTCTCCCTCGTCCCTCCATCTCAGGGACCGTGCCGAACAGTGTATCTGGGGGGGTCCTCTGAGCCCGTTGGAGAGGTGCCGGGACTGTCTCCTCCGTGCAGACAGGGAAACTGCAGATAATGAGCCCCAAGGGCCAGCTGGGGCCAGAGCCAGGGCCACGTTCCTACCGCAGGGAGACCCCTGGGCTGTGGCACAGGGGCGCGGAGTGACCCCCACCAATCAGCCGGGAGTGCGTCTCCTCCTCGGGGTGCGCTTCACCCCACAGCCACCCATCAGGCGCCCCTGGGAGGGGGCGAGCTCTCCGAGATGCTGGCACAGAGAACTGATGGTTTTTAAAGCTCTCATTTATTGCCTGCCTGCAAGGCGCACTTGACATTTCTCATCTAATCCCATGACAATCCCATGAGGTGGGTGCTATTTTCAGATGAATAGATTAGAAGTTCAAAGGCGTTAGGTAACTTGTTCGAGGGGATACAACTCCCAGGTGGCAGAGCTGGGACTCGACTACAAGCCGGTCTGATCCCGAGGCCGCCCGGGCGCTGTCCTCTGACAGCCAGGAGCCCGTCGGGGCGATGGGCCACCGCGGGGCGGGCATGGCGGGGTCGGATCTCAGCCCCGCTGCTTTCCGGGGAGCCATCCTGTTCACAGCCCAGATAGCGGGGCCACCGTCTGACCTCCGCCCACCTGCCCACAGCCGCCCGGGCCGAGCGTGGACATCTGGCATCTCGGGCTGAGACCCAGGGCTCTCAGGTGGGACATGTGGTACTGAAGTTGGTTGGCGACACAGCTCCGAGGGTCAGAGGTGGCGCCATGGCAACCCAAAACAAAGCCGGGGCCGACGCTGGGAAGAGCAGAAACAATGAAAATCGGCACAAACGGGCACCGAAGCCAAAGGGAGCCAGTTCAGAGGGCGGAACTGAAAGTCAGTAGAGCGAGGGAGACCAAGGCCCAGCGAGCATGGCCCAGAGGTGGAGCATCAGCCTAGGAACCAGGAGCTCACAGGGTTCGATTCCCAGTCAGGGCACATGCCCAGGGTTGTGGGCTGGTCCCCAGTGAGGTACGTGCAGGAGGCAACTGTTCCATGATTCTCTGCCATCATTGATGTTTCTCTCTCTCTCTCTCTCTCTCTCTCTCTCTCTCTCTCTCTCTCTCTCTCTCTCTCCCTCACTCTCTCTCCCTCCCTCCTTCCCTCCCTCCCTCTTCCTTTCTCTCTGAAATCAATAAAAATGCAGTAGGAAAGAAGGAAGGAAGGAGGAAGGGAGAGAGGGAGGGAGGGAGGGAGGAAGGGAGAGAGAGAAGGGAGAGAGGGAGGGAAGAAAGGAAGGAAGGAAGGAAGGAAGGAAGGAAGGAAGGAAGGAAGGAAGGAAGGAAGGAAGGAGGGAGGGAGGGAGGGAGGGAGGGAGGGAGGGAGGGAGGGAGGGAGGGAGGGAGGGAGGGAGGGAGGGAGGAAGGAAGGAAGGAAGGAAGGAAGGAAGGAAGGAAGGAGGGAGGGAGGGAGGGAGGGAGGGAAAGAGAAAGAAAGAGGAAACTCAAGGACCAGACAGGATGGGCTAGTGAAGAGTCCACGGAGGATTGGGATTTCACTCTTTTCCCGGCTGCTCTGTGACACCTCCCTTCTCCTCCTTTCTGTCTTGGCTCCACTGGCGCCTTCTTAGCAAGCTCAGCCCTGTTCCCCTTTGCCCCTCCCCCCAACGCCATGGCCCCTCCAGGCATCTCTTTCTCCATAGCTCTATGACCCTGGGCCCGATGTGTGTTCCGGCCCCCTGGCCCCCAGCACCCCACCCCACCCCATGCCACGCCCACCTAGAACAACATCCTCAAGGCAGGTATGCTCACACCCTATTGCTCTGCCAGCACCTGCTCAACCCTCACTCAGAGCAGGTTCTCATCATTGATGGTGTCCAACTCTCCCCCTCTACCTTTCTCTCTGAAATCAAACCTCTTCCTCACCTTGGGCCCCTCAGCTCCCCAGAGTAATGGCCCCGGAACATGCCTGAGCCCTAATCCCCGGGCGTAGTGAATACACAGTTTCCGGGCGAAGCAGAATTAGGCTCTGTTTCAATCCGCTGGCCTCAGGGAGCTCATCCTGGGTTACCAGGCGGGTCTGAGCACCTCGAGGGCCCCTGGGTGTGAGAGACAAAGGCCAGTCAGAGTGACGCGGTGAGAGAGACTCGGCCAAGCCTTCCAGATGCGAGTGGGACGCGTCTGGAAACCAGGTGAGGCAGGAGGACAGATCCCCCGGAGAGCCTGCGATTCCTTGACTGTAGCCCATGGTGGACTTGTGACGTCCAGAGCTGCAGGGTAATGCATTCACGTTGTTTTAAGCCACCAAGTCTGTGGTCATTGGTGGCCACAGGAAGTAAATACAGCAGCCCCAGGAAGTAAATACACAGGCAAAAGACATGGTCTGGCCCCCCACCTTCCCGTCACAGTATGAAGTGTGGGGCAGGACGAGTCCCCCTCAGTGTCTCTATGAGGATTGAGGCGATCCAAGGTGGGCACACACACGCACAGAGCACGGTGCCCGGCACACAGTGTGGCCACGTGGCAGCCATGGGGACGTTTCCTGGGGCTGCCCAGGGCTCACAAGGACGCGGTTGGTTCCAAATCTGTGAAATCCTACACCCCTGCCCCCCCTCAGAGAAGACACCACCTGGACCACCGCCTCCTGCTTTGGGCGCGTGAGCCCCCAAAGGTGGCTGACACCCCAAGGGAACCATTCTATCTGCCCCGGCCCAGGGGCTCACCTGCACACACGGGCCCTATGGCAGGGGCTGGGCAGCCGATGGAGATCGAGGTGCTGAAAAGGCTGCCCAGAAGCCTGGTTCAGGGGCCTTGTCCTTCCTTACACCAGTCCTTGGCTTCATTCAGACACCACAGTCTGCTGGGAGAGCTTGGCCAGACATGCCCTCCCTTTGGGTCTCAAGTTCCCTATCTGTGGAATGGGAAGCTTGGAAGGAATGGTGTGCAAGCACCTCCACGTCTTACCTCCTGACGTTTCACTGAGGAGCGTGTTATCAATAGCAAACACGTGTGTACAGGGTGACTGACATCATTAGCCTTTAGGGAAATGCAAAACCACAACGAGCCCAGCTGAGCATCGACCTATGAACCAGGAGGTCACGGTTCGATTCCCAGTCAGAACATATGCTCAGGATCCCCCTTGTGGGGTGTGCAGGAGGCAGCTGGTCAATAATTCCCTCTCATCATTGATGTTTTGAACTCTTCCCTCAATCTTCCTCTCTAAAATCAATACAAATATGTTTTAAACAAACACACACACCCACAATGAGATGGCACTGCACACCAATAAAAAAACAAATTTTGAAAAGTTTTATTTCCATTTACAAGAGCAGAGTCTACAGAAGTGGTGTGGGTTTCAGGGAGCTGAGAAAGAGACAAGGCTTCCTCACGGAGCCAGAAGACCCAGCGTTACATCAACAGGACGAGGGTTTAACCACAGGGAACCCCACACCCCACTCTCCTTCCTGCACGCCCACGCAGCCCCCCCTCCTGCGGGGCCTGGGTGAGCAGTCCGCTCTCACCAAGCCGGCTCTGGACCCAGGCGGGCCCCGGGAGCCCTGGCTCGGTGGCGGGGGAGTCAGAGCCGCTCCAGTCGTGGCAGCTCAGAGGCCTGCACCCGAGTCCGTCCTTTCCAGTCTGGGCGGTGTGAAGTACCGGGTGCATCACTTCCTCCAACCCCGAAGACGGTCCTTTTCTCGCCGAAGACTCCAGCTGCAGCCTGCATCTCAGAGCTGAGCCTCCAGGCAAACAGCACAGAAAACCAGCACCGGTGGCAGAGACCCCGTGGCCGGGATTAAGCTGTCGCTCTAACAGTAACGTCAGTGCGGAGGACGGAGACTTCTCTATCAGGATACAGGACAGAACTGCTCCATAAGACCTTAATGGGTGTTCCCCCTGAGAGTAAGAACACATTGTGGGGGGACGGGGGACTGACAAATCGCCAGGGACTCCCCGTAAAACGTACAACGTCTGAAACGCGTTATCGTGTCTTCCATGAAAGCTTAACCTCGGGAAGGCCGAGCAGGTCTTCTGATGTGACAACTCTCCCCGTGCAAATCTTACCACAGTAACTCGTCACACACACCGAATCGTGCCCGGCATCTGTCACTGAGGTGCCAACACCGACCTCTGTGATTTCCAGGGCTCCCCCGGAAACCTCAAAGACCATCGGCGGGTCAGATACCCTGAAGGTTCCCTTCCGTTCCCCCCCTACCCCCATATTTATTAAAATATCTGGGAAAGCAAAACCTAAAGAACTGTGGGAAGAGATTCAGACTCTTAACACATGAGCATCGGTGCCTGGCAAACCAACCTTGCTCTCCCGCGTCAGTAAGTGATGACATTTAAAGGTAAACAGACCCAAGACTATTGAAGAGCTACGGCCGCATACAAGCGTACACACCAATGTTCACAGCAGCATAATTCCTAACAGCCAAAGAGCGGGACCGGCCCAACCATCCGTCAGCTCGTGAGTGGAGGCGCAGACTGTGGTGGGTCACGGTGTCGCCCACACTCGAGTTACGAGGAGCCGACACCCAACCCAGCGACAGCCACCCTGGTCACTCAGGGAACTGGGAACAGCGGGGCAACAGCTGTCACGCTCTCCGCTCTCCTTGCTGTTTGCCCTCAACTAAACGAGGGGGCCCCCAGTATTCAAAACGTCGTGAAACCTGATCGGAGCCCTCCAGATGCTCAGGATAAAGTGGCCCCAGGGGCCCCTAAGGGGCCACCGTACCAGATGACACACGGAATGGAACTGTCAGATCCGCCCTCTCGCTTGTGCACCATCCTGTAAGGAAACCACGGCAAGGCCCGCTTGAGCAGATAAAGAAGCGATCAATGCCATGTTCCCGACCCTCTGGCAGGGCCACCCCTCCAGCCGTTGGCCTGGACACACCCCTGGATCCGAGAGCGCAGCCGGCTCCGGTCGCAGCGAAGGGAACGGGGTCGTTACACGCCGCAGACGGTCAGAACCGGAGGGACACGTCCCCGGGGGGCCGATGGGCCGGGCGCTCACCGCGCAGGTTAGGCTCGCGGTCCCCCTTGGCCGCGATGACGCTGTGCGTGGCGGTGAGTCGGCCATGAGAGTGAGCCTTTTGGAGCTAGGACACAGCCTCCT